TATATATATGAAAATAAATAGGCTTACACAAAATATGTTTCACTTAACACACTAACAAAGCAAAAGAAAAAAAAGTTAAAGAAAACTAAGATGGCTAAAAGCGTTTTTTTTTTCCAAAACCACAATATTTTGTATTTATTGAGTGAACACAAATACAAGTTAGCCCTTTATAGTTAACATTTTTTCTCTCAACGCAATTTTGACTGATATGATAAGGTACTTCAACCATGCAGCAAACATTTTAAAAATAGCTTAAAAAATAACTGTAAAAATGACTTGACCATTAAATTTCAATTATGCTCATCCCTAATTATATGTGTATAGACAGTGTATATATATATATATACACATATAACTACTAAACTGCTGTCCTGTTACAGGCATTACAAGGTTTCACGTGTGGTTCTGCAACTGATTCTTCATTAACAATATTTTTTATTTTAAAGAAATGTGTCATTTTCTAGTGCTTTTGTTGTGTTGGTATATTGGCACTAAAATAAGCAAAATAAAAGAAAACTGTTAAAGGCAAGGTTGACATAGCCTTCATACATGATTTATGATATTAAAACAAAGCATTAAACCGATCAAGTTCTGATGCACTGACTCACTATTTAACTTCTTTTTTTTTTTTTGTTGAATATTAACATCACTACTGGAGTTTAAATTTGACCAGTGGGGAAAAAATACAGCTCTGCCGTTCCCTAAATGGGTGATGAAACTCACATAGAGGGTTCAATACCGCTGTTGAAGGAATTAAATATCTTTGCCTGCTTTTTGAACTAATTTTGGATCAAGACTAGTTTCAGAGACGTGAGAGGATTAATGGTAAATCAAAATGACATCAAAAAAAAAGTTGATCTTTTTAATTTTTATAGAAGTATTGTGTACTGTTGCACACAGAAAAGGCAGAATATTCAAGAAACCTTCAAAACCACACCATCGGGACTGTTATTGGACCTAGTGTGTGGCCTTTAAACCCAACCAAGAAGCAGAAGAACTGCAGACCAAATCGGTCTAGATTTGACCCAGCACTGTATGAAATCAACTTCTGAAGCAGACTAGTGAGTCTGTATATGATGAGATCCATTCTGTCCTTGTTCCAGAAGGTGACCAATAGACTACACTTCCAAATGAAGGCATGATCCGTAAGTCTGCACATAAAATTTATCCTAAATTTACTAAATTCAACCCAAGTCACTTACTATGTACTGCCATTGTACTGAATTCACCCAAATGGATGTTCATTTAACAATCTTATCATCTGTTCAGCAGAACAAAGTCATTAGGTTTTTTAAGATTTGTGACCATGGGCCACAAAACCAGTCATAAGGGTCAATTTTTCGAAATTGAGATTTATGCATCATCTGAAAGCTGAATAAATAATCTTTTAATTGATGTGTGGTTTGTTAGGATCGGACAATATTTGGTCAAGATACAACTATTTGAAAATCTGGAATCTGAGGGTGCAAAAAAATCAAAAATCATCTTTAAAGTTGTCCAAATGAAGTTCTTAGCATCATTTGTGACCCTGGAGCACAAAACCAGTCATAAGGGTCGATTTTTCGAAATTGAGATTTATGCATCATCTGAAAGCTGAATAAATAATCTTTTCATTGATGTGTGGTTTGTTAGGATCGGACAATATTTGGTCAAGATACAACTATTTGAAAATCTGGAATCTGAGGGTGCAAAAAAGTCAAAAATCATCTTTAAAGTTGTCCAAATGAAGTTCTTAGCAATGCATATTACTAATTATAAATGAAGTTTTGATATATTTACGGTAGGAAAATTACAAAATATCTTCAAGGAACATGATCTTTACTTAATATCCTAATGATTTTTGGCATAAAAGAAAAATGTATAATTTTGACCCATACAATGTATTGTTGGCTATTGCTACAAACATACCCCAGTGACTTAAGACTGCTTTTGTGCTGCAGGGTTACATATGAGGATGAGTAAATGACAGCATTTTCATTTTTGGGTCAACCATCACTCTTATTTTTCAAACACTGATTTTATTTATTATAGTACTGCATCACTGCACCAGCATATTAGGAAATGAGCAATGAATATGAGAAATAACCGTGGCTGTCTGGCTAGTTTAATCCTTCCCAAGCGTCTGACACCTGCTCTGATCTGTGGTGTTGTTCATTAATCAGTCATCATATCGGCTCCTGCTCCACCGGTGGAGTCGCTCAGGCTCAGATCCTCCATCATCTCCGCCAGAGAGATCCTGGGAGCGCCGTCATCATCCGTCTCACTTTCCACAGGGATCTTTGAAGCATCTGTACAGGGAAAAATGATTCTGGTATGAGTACGGTGAGAATATTAATTGAAGAGATGCGTTGTGGTGCGTTTCTTCACCTCTGAAGATGTTGACGTTCTTCCTCAGCATCTCATCTTCCTCCAGGTCCTCCAGGAATTCAGTGTATTGTCTATAAGAAAAAATATCATCATCAAACAGGCAACAAAAGCTAAATCAGAAAAGATAAGGATGATTGGCGTTTCAAGTATAATTAAAGTTATGTTAAAAATACATAGATACTTATTTAGAATTTCAGTAGTCTGTTCCAATACCAGTGAATTTTTATGATTCTTGATCATTTCAATACCATACCAATTTAATTTTTTATTAAAATATTAAAGCTAATAATAATTTAAGGCTACATGGCATTTTAAGTAAATATTCATAAAGACCTGATCCAGTAATAAAATGAAAAACAAGGCCTCATGTCTTATTAAAGCTACTAAAGTTATTCAGACAAGCTCAGTGAGTGTTTTACTCTTAAATATCACGTAACACTTCACAGAACGGTCTCGTTTGTCAATATTTGTTAATGCATTAGCTAACAGACAACGTTTACATGCACGCTCTTGTTTTTAACTCAAGCTGTCAATGTGCGTGGTCATATTTACTCCAGATATAGGAGAAACATTATGCATAAAACGATCAACATTTCATGAGTTTAGGGCCTCATTAAATTAGTTTTTATTTTTCCCTAAATTCTGTGTTTTCTGTCAGATACACAAATTTTTACGTTTGGCGTCACTACCATGAAATATATATATATTAGTGCTGTCAAACGATTAATCGCATCCAAAATAAAAGACAAAATAAATATATTTAATATATAAACATAACATTTTTCTGAAATATATACATGCATGTGTGTGTATTTAAATATACATAATAAATATACACAGTACACACATATATATTATGTAAACAAAAACTTTTATTTTGGATGCGATTAATCGTATGACAGCACTAATATA